TCCAACCCTTTCTGGCTCTATATCTTTAGAGAGGGAAAAATCCTGTTCTTGCCCCTGCTCCCTTTCCTCTTTGCCACTGTCATCCCTATGTTCAGCAACAGGCATAGATCTGTCATCTGGAAAGTTATCTTCGTAGTCAATGTGTGCTTCGGCCTCATCTGAAAAAGTTAAAGAAAAGATACAATATGATTAAAAACGGACTGGCCTCTTGGAATGCTACGAATAGTTACAATACTATGAATAAAATGTTGAGGCAATGTTTTTCAAATTTATCAAGCCTTAGTTTTCAAACTGTTCTATCTTGAAATGTTAGTGGTCACTATGATCTTGATGTGATATCAACTTATGGTAGTTTCTAAAATTACCTGACAATTTCTTGACTTTCCAACACTTAGTTCAGGCATTCCATACATGCAATATCTATCATTTGAGATGCACAAAAGAGCTTTTTCTAAAAAAACCTTTTCAATTTTTGGACTGTTCTCCAATTCTGGTCTTTCCACGAGGGTAATTTAATTTTGTGCGGAACATTTCAGCCATTCTCAAGGAGGAAAACAAATCACAGAAAAATAGGAAACATCTATGTGCATGGCCAGACAAGAACACTGTGTGGTTTGTGGCGCCACAGACTGCATGCGCCACACATGCAGGTGTTCATCACACTGCTAATTAGCAGCATGGCAGGGTTTTTTGACACAGGGAGATCCCAGAAAAAAACAGGACAGCACTCATGGCTGCGGTGTGCGCTGCCAGAAACCAGAGCCTGGCCAGCTAGAGCCACACTCCAGCTGTCAGCCAAGCTATACATGCCCAAATTGCCACTGCTGAAGCCCCAGGAGGCCCCCAGGACCTCAGGTAAGGTTACTGGGGCCAACCCATGTGCTAGCCCCAGCCTTCCCTACCCCACTCGGGGCAACTTGCCAGGCACCAGAGTGTGCATGTAGGGGTCTTCCCCAGGGACAACCAGTAGCAGCAAAAATATGTGCCGCTGCTAGCTGTTCCTGGGGAACACACAGTCCCACTCATGGGGGCCTGCTCTATGGGTCTTTTTTGGATAGCCTCACAAATTTAAAATATTGACAGAAAAATAATCCCTAAGACACATAGGCCTTTCCATCTGATCTGATCTGATGAAAGCTAATTTTATAGATTCATAGATTCATAGATTAAGGGTCGGAAGGGACCTAGTAGATCTTCTAGCCCAACCCCCTGCCAGGGCGGGAGAACAACAAAAAACCCCCAAAAGAGAAACGGGACTCAAATGAGTCCAGCTAGGTAGGCATCCAGCCTCTTCTTAAAGACCCCCAGGGTAGGGGCCAGCACCACTTCCCTTGGAAGTTGGTTCCAGCTCCTAGCCGCCCTAACTGTGAAGTAGTTTTTGCGGATGTCCAATCTATACCTCCTCTCCATCAACTTGTGCCCATTACTCCTTGTTATGCCAGCGGGCGCTAGGGGAAACAGCGTCTCCCCCAAACCCTTCTGGTCCCCCCTAGTGAGTTTATAGACGGTCACCAGGTCCCCCCTCAGCCTTCTCTTGTGGAGGCTGAATAGGTTCAGGTCCCGCAGTCTCTCACTGTAGGGTCTGCCCTGTTGTCCCCTGAACATGCGGGTGGCCCTCCTCTGGACCCTCTCCATGTTGTCCACATCCCTCTTGAAATGGGGCGCACAGAACTGGACACAATACTCCAGCTGTGGCCTGACCAGCGTCGCGTAGAGGGAGAGGATCACCTTAATTTTGCTTTAGCCTGTTTTATCAATATGTAAATATATGCGTGTGTATATTCACAACCTTTATTTTTCCAATATCTTTTATAATGATCACCATTTCTCTGATGATATACTTGTATATATATATGAGTTGAATGAAATTCCTCGTTTCACCTTCGCTATTTCAAAGTTATGCATAATACTGTGTGTGACACTAAGGCAAAAGGGCAGAGTTAAAGTGTTGATGCTTGTATTTCACTTCACAACTATCATATTTTTAATTACTTTAATCAAATATTAATAGTTCATTCTAGAATCTAAAGTGGACAATCTACTTTAGTAGAGATGAAGTGTTTGAAAACGATGCCCAGATAGCTTTTGCAGCCAATAGGAGTTTGTCTCTAAAAGGACCAAAGAATTCAAGAATTGGGCTTTATATTCAGAGAATAGTTTTCCTATCAAAATACACCCAGCTCTGTAATGGGAGGGTGGTAACCCAAGCATCTCTTATGTCCGGCATAAAAATAGGGCAGGTTTTGGCTAGGGACACAGGCAAATCCATGTTTTTATGAAATATGCCAGTTAGTTTTAATGTCCACAAAAAGCGGACGGAAATCCAATTTTTAAAGGTCTCAGGTAGGATACTTACCTGCTTCATTGTAAATAATGTAGAACTCTAGTCATCTGCCTCAGAAGAGGGAAAGCATAGTCCCCACACTTGTTAGGATATGCATGTCTAAGGTATATATATCTAGGACCAGACTTCAAGTCAATGCATTCTGCCAACAACATTTGTATATTTTCTTATAAAATATTACAAATATTAATGAAGAATAGTGAAGTGCAATGCGGGGAAAGTCATATCTCATGTGTCTGATTTACAGATACTCCCCCAGCTTTAGCTTCACTACTCCTGGCAAAGCAGCCTTGACTTGCATTATTAAACAAAATGTTTTAATTTAAAAAAACAAACTGGAAGAATGCATTACTATTTATATATTTGCTGCTGTTTGAAGTACACAGTCCAATGAAAATTTGACTAATCAGAGAGGATGCCGGTTTTGAGCTCACATCAGTTTTATGCTGCTGAAAGTTGATGTAATTGCTGTTGACTTACACTGGCATACGAGAGCCTAGAAGGTTGTGCCTAGAACATGGCAAACAAAACTGAATGCAGGTGGAGAAAGCCGTGAAAAAAAATGAGACTTATTTTTCAGTGGAACTAGTGAAGCAATAAGCAAGACACAGGAAAAAAATAGGAAACAAGAAATGAATACTGGAAATTTTACATTATAAAGCAGTGTGTTTTTAAAGCCATAAGTTTTCATTGTATTATTATCCTAACAGTTTAGTGTCATAGGGTCATAGATGTTAGGGGCTGGAAGGGACCTCTCAGGATCATCAAGTCCAGCCCCACTGTGCTTGGGCAGGAAAGGCTGCTGGGGTCATCAAGGTGAGCATCCAGACATTTTTTGAAGATATCCAGAGTAGGTGACTGTACCACCTCTGGGGGAGTCTATTCCAGACCCTGGACACTTGAATTGTAAGGATGTTTTTCCTTATATACAATCTAAAGCCGTCTTCTAGCAATTGATGACTGTTAGTCCTAGTCTTTGCCTGCGGAGCCCTGGTGAAGAGATGTTCTCCCAGTCCCTGATATGTGTCCCTTATATACTTATAGACTGCTGCCAAGTCCCCTCTGAGTCTTCTCTTCTCCAGGCTGAACCAACCCTAGTCTCTCAGCCTCTCCTCATACGGCCTGCTCTTCATACCTCTAACCACAAGCATAGATAGCCCTCTTTTGGACACTCTCAAGCCTTTCCAGATCCTTCCCAAAATATGGTGCCCAGAGCTGGATGCAGTACTCCAAGCAGTCTTTTTCCAATATAGCTTACACCCATTCCTGGAATGGAATAAACAGTGCCAGAAAAATGGTATTTTGCTGGTATACCTGCACCATAGGCTCTTGAGAGCTGCCTGTTACGCTCATTTTATGGTAACAGGGAAGACAGAAGGAAGGGCAGGGTAGTACCTTAGGGTGTCTTTACATGTGCTTCAGGGTGCTGGGGGCGGGGGAGGCATTTTAATTAGTGACTCTTGTGAGACATTCTAATTAAAATGCCCGCAGCATGTCACGTATGCAGTGTTACACTCTTCAAAATGGCAGCAGGGGCACTTTAACTGAACTTTGTCAAACAAGCTTTAATTAAAGCGTTTCCACCACCGTTTTGAAACCCAGGGATGCTGAATGCATGTGATGCTGAGGCTGCTGAAGCATTCTTATTAGAACGCTTCAGCAGACTCACTGATCATTCATCATCTATATCAGCCTTACTAAAATTATAATCAGTAGGTTTTTACTGAAGGCTTACCTGGCAGGAATTGTATTATAAGAAGAGACAGCATTGTGGTACAATTACTACTGCCAGTGAACAATGCATTCTTATTCATTCATACAGGCAGTTATGGTCCAGGTTGTAAAGCTGTTCTAACATATTCTCATATGAAGTATTTGTACAGTTAACAGCAAAGACTATCTAATGTTAGCTTGTGTGGGGGAGGGTGCTGGAATGAAAGCATCTATTGATCCTTTTACACATAAAAGGAAACATTGCCCTATTGCTCTGAAACGTTGACTTAGCTGGTACCAGATTGCTTCATACAGTAGTAGCCCGCTCTTTCTTCATGTATTTCAGCCTTTATATGGGGTCTGTTTGGTATTTAACAAGTCAGTGCTATGATGACAGCTTTTTCTTGGCAGCTCTGGGCCCCATTTTTCCAGACACCAATTGCTCACATTCTACGTTCCCATTTACTCACTGCCTAAGTACTTTTTGAATTTTATTTTCCAAGTTGTAGTCTCAACTAGAAGAGAGCAATGTGCAAAGTGGCAATAGCTGCACCCTTTTCTCCCAATAGCTGTAACCTCTATTTGCATGCATTTAAAAGCAGCTGGCAATTAGTTTCAAGGTGGCTGCATTTTTCTTTTTAGTCAGAGAAATCTAATTTCGAAGCCAGAATGTATAGAAAAATCCAAGTCTGAAACCTAATTAATTTTATATTGAGGGCATGAAAATAGACTACATTGCCATGGTTTAACTTTCATTTAACAAGAAATAAGAGTGTGCACTTGCAGAGTTAGCAGGGAGTAGCTGATCCCTGCCCTCATTTACCACTTGCTATCTTGTTTATTGTGTCAATGCCCTTATTCAAAGACCCAAATCTCCACCCTCCATTTCTATATAGAAATTCAGTATTTTATGGATCACCAGGGCTACAAGTGAACACTTTGTAGTACTAACAATTGAAACAGTATAGCATCAAAGCTAGAAATCCCAGTTAAACTGTGATTAAAGGCCTTTTATTTTAACATTCTTATTTCAAGAGTTACCAGATCTTAAAACTAAGTACAATTTTTGCATTTAGGCAGATCTACAACTTTGGAACGGAG